AGATAAAATAACTTATAGCCTATGAGTTCAATACAATATTTGATTGTATTTCTGCTTTAATCTTTATTTTTGTTTTCATCGTTATTCTTGGATCAGAAGCCGACACAGAGCGAGTTTGATTAGCATATCGCATATACTCAATATCATGCAGTTCAGCTGCTGTCGAAAGAGAGTTTTTGGGCAGTAGGTCAAGTTGTCCACTAAAGAAGATCTAATTTAGACCCAACAACTGTTAATAATATTTTATTTCTTCATTCGATAGAGAATAACAAAGTAAAAGATGGAGTGGTTTCGAACTATATCATTTTTGTGCTTCTGTGCCTATTTTTTACAATATATAGTCAAATAAATCCTATGATCAAATGATAGAAACATCTTATAAAGACGTGACGAGGTAGCGAAGAAAAAAAATTAAGGTTGAACTGGGGCGAGGCGGAGTGGGAAACAAAATATTCTCCCTGTTTCGGCTTCTGCATTATATATCCATTTCTTTTTCCAAAAGGTTTGACAACGATAAACTTGTTTCTATACTTTTTTTACGAGTTGAAACAGAATACTACTTATTCAAAAACAAAAAATTTCAATTTTAAGCTATGAAATTCATAAAATGAACATATTGATTTTATATTCTTGAAAACTTTGTTTAAAAAAGATTTTGTCGATATCGATTGAATACAATGTTTACTGAGATTATATTATAAACATTCTTGTAAAAACTCAAAAGTGATATTTACTAAAATATATCATGAGTAAACTAGTCAAGAAAGGAAGCAATTCTTGCGTTTTGTTATGAACTGGACGAAAAAATAATTCAATCGATGTGGTGCTGAACAATAGCGACATCTGTTTGCCGTTGTGTGGGTAATATTGATCATACCAGATTCGTTTTTCTGGATTTACCATTCGAGATGCACCAGCCCAATTTCCAATAAATACTCTAATTCTTTATTATTGTCTGATGTAACTCTAAAACTCGAAAGTATTTTATTAATAGATAATATTTGTCTCCGATATTTATATTTCAGATTCTCGTTGACATCTATTTTATATTTTTGCGGTTAATTCCAAAAGCAATATAATGGAACTCTTTTCGTTTGTTGATGATTTAAAGTAAGAAGATTCAATTTAGAAAATATTCTATTTTTTTATATATTTCATTATTTTAGACGTATGGATAAGCGGCAGGTATTAATCACAATTGTAAAATCTTCAGAACATTGTAATTTCTTTTTTCTTTTTTATTTACAAATAGGCAATCTATCAAATACTTAATTTTGGTATGATTATTTCAACAGCGCTTATGATATGGAAAGGTCTTATGGTAGTAACAGGCAGTGAAAGTCCTATTGTTGTTGTACTTAGGTTAATTTTCAAATAAAATTGATTATGCATTGAATTATATATTTATTTATTTTAGTGGTAGTATGGAACCTGCTTTTTTTCGTGGTGATCTTCTTCTATTAACAAATTATCAGGAAGAACCTATTCGTGCTGGTGATATTGTTGTATTTCGTATTGAAGGTCGCGATATACCTATTGTTCACCGAGTTATTAAAGTACATGAAAAGTATGTTCGTTTTTTGTTTTATTTCTTAAGAGAAAAAAAAATTTATTTTTATTAACAATAGAGATGATGGTTATGTTAAATTTTTAACAAAAGGTGATAATAATCAAGTTGATGATCGTGGTCTTTATTCACCAGGACAATTATGGCTTGAAAAGAAAGATGTTATTGGTCGAGCACGAGGGTATTTTTTTGTAGTTGTTGTCGAATAGATAATAGATTTTTGTTGGTTTTTTAGTTTTCTTCCATATATTGGTATGGTAACAATTTTAATGAATGATCATCCTCAATTAAAATATTTGGTCTTGGCTTTACTCGGTTTTTTTGTACTTATTCATCGTGAAAATTAAATATGAAAGAAAACAAAAAAAAAAACAAAAATAATTATTCATTTTATTTTTACTTATTCATCAAAAGAAAAAACAAGCATCAAAAGAAATAATATTCATATTTGGATAGAATTCTTGTTTAATGTTATTCTTATTGTTGTAGGAGTCTGTTATATCTGTTTTTTTGTGAAAGAAAAATAAAAATAAAAACTATGTTATCATCTATTGATTTATGCTTTCAGATATATATAATGTCATCGAATTCAAAATCATCTGAGTATAAAAATCAAACAAATAAAACTTTATTTCAATTTGATCGTGGTCCTATACAAATTTTAAATTCTTTTTCAACATTAACACAATCAGAAGTAATATATCTTCAATTACTTTTTTCTGCTTTACTTGAAATACTCTCATTAAATTTAACAAATAATGATCCAATTAAATCTCGTCTTTTATTGCCAATACTTCTTAATCTTCTTCAAAGAAGTAAAATACTTCCATCATCAATGAGTTCATCAACATTATCAATTCGACAATTAAAACTTTTTCAAGATTATGTACATAATTTACAAGAGATTATTCAAACAGGATTAAATCTTATTCAAAGACATTCAACATCGTCAGATAGATCGACTATTACTAATCTTTTAGGAAATAGTTTTGAAAAAACTTTAATTTCATCACCATCATCATTACCATCAAATATTAGTATTGATATTCCTCAACAAGATATTCAATTAAAAATACCATTACCTTTAATAATGAAAGAAACTATATCACCAAATAGTTTTGATAATAATATTGTTGTTTTTCGTTATGTTCAAGATTTTTATGAACTTCATAAATTAGGCAAAGGTGCTTTTGGTAAGACTTTTTACAGTAAAATTTTTTTCATTATTTTTATCTTTCATAATATATCAAATTTCTAGGTTCTGTATTTTGTGCAAAAAATCATTTAGATGATCGTAGGTATGCTATAAAAAAAATTGTTTTTAATGGACATACAGATCGTACTCGACGTCAAGCACAACGTGCTTTACGTGAAGTACGAGTTCTTGCAGCATTAAATCATCCAAATATAGTACAATATCATTGTGCTTGGCTCGAATTAGTACCTATTGACACTCCTACACATCAAATATCATCGTCATTATCACCACCATCACCACAAATAAAAAAACCTATTCCTCAAGTTCAACAATTTGATTCTACTGATGAATTAATTGAATTTAAAGGACAATCTTCATCATCACCACAAAATAAAAAAGAAAAAGATGAAGTAAAATCACCACAAAAAAATTCAACAACATCAATAGATTGTGATGAAGATGAAAGAGAGGTTAGTTAAACAAATATCTATTATGAAAATTTTTAATAGATTTAAGAAGTTGAATGTATAGGATACTAGTTTTAAATACTTCTAATACAATTTAAAATGTTATTCAATTCAAATTTCACTTTAATTTAGTGTTATGCAAAAACAAATAACACGTTTTTTGTCCCATGTGAACAGTTTTCAGTTCTCTTTACGATTTTGTCGGCTGAAGTTAACATTTAATAAAATAAATGCTTACAAATTTTGTTTATAACTTTAAGCATTCGTTTCTATTACAGAGTTGAATATCATAACCTGATTATGAAGAGATGGGAACGGCTGAAAATCCAGCAGAAAGTGCTCTCGTTCTTGGACTGCTGGAAATGGTGACTGGAGGGAAGAAAGAAATTAACTATGACTCGGTTCCTCTCTCTTATTTTTATTTTACTTTCTGCCAGGGAAAGGTAGTAAAGGCTGTCTCAAAATCTGGTTGCTGTTCAAAGTTGCCTTGAAGCTGTAAAAAAAATTAGCAGAAACTATTAAGAATTTTCGCAGAAATTCGGATATTTTAGAGGATAAGCATCTCCTAATCGGGAACCATGGTAAAAATCCTAAGAAAACCTCTAAGATTATGACTTCATTAGATCCGATCCGTTCAAATGAATCGTAAAATGATGAAAAACAAAATTTTATTTTTAATATATAGAGTCGTCGTTGTAAGAGTATCTTCCGAAAAGAGATTTAGACGATGATAATTTCCTGTCACTCATATGAAAACCATTCGTTCTTAATCAAAGAATAGCTTAGATCTCTTCTCATATCAGATATATGACTATAAAACTTAATGCAATATTCTTTTTTCTCAATTAAAAAATATGAATATTTTGACTTAAATTTAATTTTAATCATGTTTAGCCTTCAGTATTTGGAGTTAATGATAAGGATACTGTTGTACAAATTCAACAACAATATCATTCTGATGGTGATCATCGTTTATTATCTCATTCAAAAAATTCTCTTGAACATATAAATTCTCATTATGAAACATTATCAAATGAAAAACTCTTAAATAAAGAATTAATTCCACTTCATACACGAAATCACTATATTCGTCCAATAATTCAACCAAAATATATTAATTCTAAATTAGTACTTTTTATTCAAATGCAATTATGTGATACAACATTACATGATTGGTTACGTCATCGTGATCATATAATTATTGAAGAAACATCTGATGAAAAGAAGATTATGTTTTACACATTAAATGATTTAGGTCAACAACAATGTTGGCATATTTTTAAACAAATTTTAGCTGCTATTCAAGTAAAAATTTTAAAAAGAATTTATTTATTTTTTTTGTTCTTTTATTATTTATTGTAGTATCTTCATTCACAATCATTTGTTCATCGTGATATAAAACCACGAAATATTTTTCTTTCATGCGATTCAAAAGATAGTTCATCTATTCATGTTAAATTAGGTGATTTTGGTTTAGCTACTTTACTTGATTCCGAATCTACGTCTGATTCATTTGAACAATTTAAATGTGATGATTCATCTGGTGTTGGTACAGCTTTATATGCACCACCTGAACAACTTAATTCAAATCAATGTATTGCAACAACTAAATCAGATTCATATAGTTTAGGAATTGTTCTTTTTGAATTATTTAATATATTTCTAACTGAAATGGAACGATATCATTGTTTAAATGATTTACGTATAAATATGAAAGTTGAAGAGCAATTTTCAAAATATTATCCACATGAAACAAATATTATTGAACAATTAATATCAATTGAAAGTGATAAACGACCAACTGTTGAACAAATATTAACAATATATAGAAAAGAAATTCAGCAAAAAATGAAAAAACCAAATAATACAAAACAAATGGTTATTGATGAGTTGAAAGAAGAATTATGTGATAAAAATAAAAGAATTCAACAATTAGAACTTGAATTAGAAAAAAATAAATCATAGTTTTTATTTTATTAGATAAATTAGGTCAATTTTTTTGACACTAAACGAGAACAAAAATATAAGATTTGATAAAGAAAAAAAAAAGATTAATTATACACTGTGTGTTTTTTTCGCACGTTTATTTTCATAAAATAATTTGAAAATCAAAACAATGTATTGTTATCTATCACGTGGACATTTATAGTTTATTTTAAAAAAAAAACGAAAGAATAAAATTTCTAATATCCATTTCAACTACAGATGAACATAGAATAGGATGTGCAGCTGTTCTGATGTTTTGTACTTCTGCTCAACAGGATAAAATAAGAACAAGACGCACTAACTCGTTCTGTGGTCTTATCTGTCTACTTTCCCTTGCATCAAGTGAAATGGCATAAAAATAAAATACATGAACTGTTGATTAAAAGTTCAAGACTAGTCTATTCAATTGAATTAGAAAAGATCTCTTTGACATTTGGAAAATGAAAATTATGATTGCAAACAGAATGTAAATACGGAATGGTCCATAAAAATAAGGTAACACAGTTTTTTCTCGCTTTATTTATGATACATTTTCAGTTAAGTTTCATATTTCTACCACATATACTAGGTTATACAACTCAAAGTTTCACCATAAGTGTAATCGTTTTTTTCAAAAATGTATCAATACACGATAACTAAAAAAAGTGACATGTTTTGGTAGTTATAGTTTTTCCTTCTGTAATATATGTACATCTATATTATTCTATCTTCTCAGCTAATATTTATAAATGTGCTAGTGATGGCATCTCGCAGATAACAACACAAGTGATCATCTCTGCTATCAATGGATTCAGTTCTTTTTCTCGTTGCATTTCTCATTCTGTGTACACAATTCTAACAGTGTGTGTTTCCGACTTTTGAACAATGAGTCAACGTTTTCCGATTGTCTTTATGTGAAAGAATTGAAATTGTGAAGTGATATGCCACAAAACCTCAAAATGTTCAAGCACTCAAAGATGCTATTATTACAGAATACAAAACCTGCTAACAGAATTATATCGAAGAGCTTGTCAATCTGTGTTTGAGAGACTAAAACTTTGCAAAGACTTAGAGGGCAAGCACATTAAGCAATTGTTGTGAAAAATTTCTTACTGACAATACTTCACAAAGATCTACTGTTGTGTGTATCGTTTTCTTGCTCTATTGCTTTGATAAAAGTTTTGTTAGAACATAGACATTTCACTTTTTTGGTTATCGTGTATTGATGCATTTTTGAAAAAAACGATTACACTTAGATATTGGTCCAATGGTGATTCTTTGAGTTGCATGACCTAGTATATGCGGTAGAAATATAAGACCGAACTGGAAATGTATTAGAAACAAACCGAGCAAAAAACTGTGTTATCTTACTTATGAGCCACCCTGTATTTCATTGAAGAGCATTTTATATTCATTGACTGATAGTAATTATTACAGCGATTTTTTAAAATCTTTTCCAAAATGCTTCCAATTGTTGAATTGCTTTGTCAAGAAAGAATCTTTATCTTACACCATTTTTCTGATTGAAGACTTACGATGAAGTACTTATTCATTGTTGAACGTTAAATCAAGAGTCAATACTAACAGACTAGTATGAACATATCCTTGAGCAAATAAAGTACTGAGATTCAAGTATAATCCTGTAATAGGCTTTTTGTAATGGACATTGAGAATGAGTCTAATAGACTTTTTAATGATATAATAATATTTATTTAGTACTATAAATGAGATTATGTTAAATGGATCTATTTGATTTATAAAAGTGTTAATAAATAGCAATAGAGGGAAGATTGAAGTGAAAATTAATCAATGTATCGCAATAAAAGGTACCTTCTCAGACTGAAAGCTAATTGGCTTTTTATGTTTTTTAGTTTCCCATTTTGTTAGAAAAAAAATATAGAATCTTCTGTTCTAAAAATAATCGACAGAAAAAAAGATACAATTAATAGGGAAGAATAGCGCTGACATAACATAATTTTCGTTCAATGTATTAAAAATAATAAAATACAACCATTCTCTTCAAAGCCTAAAAGAAGAAGTACTAGAAATGTTTCTAAATTAGTTGATCTTTATTTGAATTAACGTTTTTTTTCTGTATGTGTTTGATTGTAATACTTGATTTGTACTTGAATGTAATAAAGATTTAATAAAGTAAAATTACTAATAAATTAAACCATTTTATTCATATTAATAATGAAGTATATATAAGATTATACTATAACTTAATATTTATTAATTAATTGATTATCTTATCTGAGTGCACAGAACGACTTCCTTTTTACTACATATCTAAGATCTCTGAACATTGTCTGCCAGTGTTAGTACAGAACAATGGTCTCGGAAAGTTGATAGTTTGTCGATATCAAAAAATGAAAAAAAGAGAATATTGTTAGATGTCTGAAGCAATTATAAGATGTATATGCATTGTTGGCAATTTAGTAATCGATCATTCAAAAATTAGTCGACAGTTGAATGTGTCAAATGTAAACATATCGAACTGAAGAGATGAGCAGATACTAATGTTTTCTTTCGATCTTTTTATCTTCAACTTTAGTTGAGAGAATATAGTAACTGTGCACTTGAATCGATACTCGGATATTTTTCATTAGAGAAATATCAAGTATAATTTTATTGTTGAAAGACTTTACTGTAGTCGTGAGATACAGACAAGTCTTTTAGAAAGGTGATTTTACTCTCGCAAAATCGGAAGTACGATCAGTCAGATTGATCTCTATTCTAAGTTTGTTGCCTGTCGTATCCGATCAACGTTCGCTATGTTGTTACGAAAAAAAACCTGTATATTATTCTTCGAATGACACATATATACGGGCAATTGATTACTGGTCTAATCTTCATGAAATCTGACCATTATTTAGACGGAATTTATAGGTATAAAAATCTTGAAATTTTTTTTTTTACACTTTCATACGGTTGGGTACAATCATTGAACTCACATCAAAGTTTGATTTAGAACGTCCAGTTTAGAAATTAAAAAATAAGTCATTTTTAACTTGAATTGAATCTCATTTCTAACTTGATTAATCGATTTTTAAGCACACTGCAGATGATATTTTTGGCCAATATATAAAATACCAAAAGAAAAATGCAGCACTTTCTTGTCTTTTATACAGAAGCAATTTCCAGCAACAACTGTAACCTTCTGCAGTTAATGAGAGATCAAACAAAATGTATAAAGATTGTCACACGTGGTCAAAAACACGAAACTTTCGCAATAAATTCAAGAATAGACAAATACAACAAAAATAAAAACACAGCCCTCTATAGTAGGTGCATAACTATAGTTGCTGTAGTTACTTTTTTCTTTTCTTTCTCTTTTATGTTCTGATTCAATGTGACGTCATCCAAAGTAAGAAAGATTTATGCTGTTTTCATAGTATGTGCTCATATTGCTGCTTTTACATATTGTGTTTGCGCATGTGCTGTCATATTATGTGAGTGTGCCTGCGTATATGCGTGAGTTGTTATGTACTTACGAAGATTGAGTGTATGCATATCAGAGTTTAAAAATCTTCACATTACTATTCTTGAAGCGGATAAACACATATGTTTTATTTATGACTTTGCTAGCTTTTTATTTGTACAAAAAATATATTAAAAACAATTACATTTGTCGTAGTAGTCAAAGTTAGCAAAGACTAAGTTATAAACGTAATTCTAACAATATCAAACCCATTATCTTTTTTCAAAAACAAATTCGTAAGAGACACAATCATGTGATAAAGTGCGCAACCAGTATGTAACTAGATTAGAAATGTGTGCGTTCTCTTCCTAATTGATATCTATATAAATCATACGTAGGTATCAAATTAATTTACTAATAAACACGTGTTTATTTCTACTTCATATAATAAGAATATTTAAATAATCTACATAATTTACATTTATTCTATTAAGAATTATTCGAAGATCTACGATTCACTCATAAAATAAGCCGTAAATATTACCCTTTGAACAAACACAATGAGCAGAAAACGAAGCAAAATTGTGGACGAGAGAGAAGAAAAGAATGAAGATGTCTCCATCTTACACAGCTTCAAAAAACAAAGAGTAGAAATGACTGTTGAAGAGGTAATTATATTGTATATCTACACGAAGAAGTTTTAATAGCTTTACCTTTTGTACTTTTTTTTTTTACTTTAGTATGATAAATTTTTGATAGAGAAGAAAAATGGTAGATTCAAGCGAACTGGAACATGGGGTGGAATGTGTAAAAACGTAGCACATGAATGTTGTGACCCTGAATGTGTACGTAAGTGGAAGCCTTCGCCTGTACAATGTTTGGCAGACGATTATTACTGCCCTTCCTGTGTACTTCATCATCGAAACAATGAGACTCGATTCTTGGAAGAAAGACTAAAATGGACAGCGAATGTTCCAAATACATTCTATGTATTTTCTCTTATTGATCCAGGCACGGAAGCAAATGGTAAAACTGAAAGATCTCTGATTAAATTTGGTCGCACTCAACATGAGAATGCTTTGAAAAGATATCCTACAATAGAACTGAAACAATACCAAATGAAACTCTTGTTGACATTACGCGGAAAATTAATTACAATGACTAGAATTGAAAATTGGTGGAAGGAGCAAGCAGAAGAAAAAAATTGGTTCGTAAGATTTAGTAACAAGGAGTTTCATGGACAAACCGAATGTATTGAAGTTAGTGATAACGATCTGGCACAATTGATTGCTAAATCAAAAGAAATTGCAGCTGCTGATGAAGAAATGCAGAAATAATTGTACTAAATATCTAGAATGTAACCGGTGAACTATACATTGTAGAATAGAAAATAAGTCATATAGAATATAAAAGGATATTCTAGGAATGTCTATACGAATTCAACAATACACTCCTGTTTTTTTGAGTAATACGATATTGACGAAAGTTCGATATTCAAGTTTCGATTGTTTTTTTGTTAGAAAATTGTGATTGTATTTATATGAACATTTCTAGAATAGCAAACTCGATTTTGCATTCT